TCTGCCACCGCAGGACATGTTTGTGCGGCAGCTCTTCTCTTCTCATCTGACTGGAAACATTATGTGGCTCACGGACAGGATGAGGTAGTCGAACACGGATCCAGCCTGCAGCTACGCTCTCCACAGGAGATGTTCATTTCAGACAAACGTAATCAAGCGTGTGATAATTACGCAGCGGCGCAGCCAAAACCGCCAGGTGAAAATAGCTCCACTTCAAACATAAGATGACACTTTTTCGCCTCAAACCCTTTTTTCTTCCTTTTGCTCCAAGGAGCAGCTGAAGCTTGAACAAAGAAATAAAACTGCTTTCCTCACACTAGTTAGATGAGAACTTCCCCTGCTTTACACTCATTAGTTCTGACTGTTGTGAATAACACACTGTCTCTCGTATCTCTCTAAGGCAAGACACTGCAGGTGAATATGGTAAAAACAAACAACTAATAGATATCATCATACTTCCCCAGGTGTTTAATTACTTTAAGAATTTAAGAGTTTTCTGAAAAGCTATATTTAAATAAGCAAATGAGGCATTATCTAATTAAATATGAACTACATTTCCAGCACATACTGTAAATATGATCATTGGATAAGGCCAGGTTCAAAATTCTTGATTTTGTTGACATATTAGAGTTAAAGGTTTTTCCAGAGGGGATTTTGTATTTCTCTTTTTATCACTCCATAAACCAAAAAAAAAATACTGAAATACATTTAATCTTGTTTTAAGGAATAAAAAAGTTGTGTAAATCAGTGAACAATCCCCTCAGTAAAACCCTTCAGAATAAAGATAGGAATAAAACAGTAAAGTTTGGTGTTTAGTAAGTGCTGCTGAAGTGGAGAAACAAACTTTTTGAAGATGTGTATTGGAATTGAAATGTACAGACGCAAATAGATAAAGTGAAATAATAATACCAGGCAAACAATATATAAACAAACCCCTCAGTAAAAACCTTTAGAATATAGGGAGGAATAAAACTCTAAAATTTGGTGTATGTAAGTGCTGCTGAAGTGGAGAAAAAACTCAATTTGAGGGAAAAATAGGCCTTATGTGTATCGGAACTGAGATCTATAGGCGCAAATAGATAACGTGCAAAAAATAAAATAATGCAAATTATGTATGATCAAACCCCTCAGTAAAACCCTTCAGAATATAAACATGAATAAAACTGTAAAATTTGGTTTATGTAACCATTGCTGAAGTTGAGATAAATCTCATTATGAGAAAACAACCTTTAAAGATTGTATTGCAAATTGAATTTACAGATGCAAATAGATAGAGTGCAATAATAATACCAGGCAAACAATATATGAACAAACCCTTCAGTAAAAACCTTCACAATATTGAGAGGAATAAATCTATAGAATTTGGTATATGTCAGTGCTGCTGAGGTGGAGAAACAAACTCATTTTGAGAAAAAAGGCCTTATGTGTATTGAAATTGAAAAAATATAGACGCAAAAATATAAAGTGCAATAATAAAACCTGGCAAGTGATATGAACAAACCCATCAGTAAAAACCTGTAGAATATATAGAGGAATAAAACTTTATAATTTGGTGTATATAATTACTGCTGAGGTGGAGAAACAAACTCTTTAAAGATATGTACTGTAAATTAAATCTACAGAAACAAAACGATAAAGTGCAAAAATAAAACCAGGTGAATGATATATGAACAAACCCCTCAGTAAAACCCTTCATAATACAGGTAGGAATAAAACTGTAAAATTTCGTGTTTGGAAGTGCTGCTGAAATGGAGAAAAAACTTTTTAAGATATGTTTCGGAACTGAAATCTACAGATGCAAATAGATAAAGTGTACAAATAAAACCAGGCAAATTATATATGAACAAACCCCTCAGTAAAACACTTCAGAATATAGATAGGAATAAAACTGTAAAGTTTGGTGTTTGTAAGTGCTGCTGAAGTGGAGAAAAATCTCTTTAAAGATATAGATTAGAAATCTACAGATGCAAATAGATAAAGTGCAATAAAATAAAAACTTAAATGTGTATTTTGGATTTTTTTTTCTTTCCACTAGTCTGAAACAACATGTAATGAAAAGCGAAAAAGCCCAAACAACTGATTGCAATGTGATCAAAGCTGAATTTTCAGCATCATTATTCCAGTATTCAGCGTCACATGATCTTCAGAAATCATTCTAATATGCTGATTTGCTGCTCAAGAAACATTTCTGATTATTATCCATGATGAAAACAGTTGTGCTGCACAATATTTTTGTGAAAACCGTGGTACATTTTGTTTTTCAGGATTCACAGATGAATAGAAAGTTCAAAAGAACAGCATTTATTTGCAATAGAAATCTTTTGTAACATTAGAAATGTCTTTACTGTCACTTTTGATTCATTTAACGCATCCTTGATGAATAAGTGTTTCTTTTTTTTCAATCTTACCTACCCCAAACTAGTGTATTGTATGCAGCACAACTGTTTTCAACATTGATAATAATCAGAAATGTTTCTTGAGCAGCAAATCAGCATATTAG